TGAATACAGCACAAGACGCACGTCTTGTAACCCCTCCCCTGGCCCTGGCGCGAGCGTGGAAATATGAAATTGAAGCAAACCGGCCGCCAGCTTGAACGCCTATCCATGAAATCATCCCTCACAGTTCACCATGAATCATACAAACTCCATCTCACTACCTACAGAGACGCCCTCACTGCCGCAAAATCTGCCTACTTCTCCACCATCTTTACCGACCCCTCCCGTAACCCCAGGACCCTCTTCTCCACCGTCAACAAGCTCCTCAAACCCCGTGCTGACACCCTCTCTTCATCCACTTCCACCTTATGCAGTTCATTCCTCCAGTTTTTCTCTGACAAAATCACTGCCATTAATCTCTCCCTATCCACTGCTTCTCACACACAAACATCTCCCCCAACACCCACCGCCACAATTTCTCCCTCCATCTCCCTGGACCTCCCGAGCCCCCCCTCCCCACGGCCGCCTCTCCCAGTTCACTCTGGTTACCCCCCCTGAAATACTCAAACTGATCAGCTCCTCCAAACCCACAACCTGCTCGCTTGACCCCTTACCCACCCCTCTACTGAAGTCCTGCCTCCCCGTCCTCTGCCCTTACCTTGTCAACCTTTTCAACTCCTCCCTGTCCCAAGGAACCGTTCCCTCTGCCTTCAAAACTGCTGCTGTCACTCCCATCCTCAAGAAACCCGGTCTGGATCCCTCCTCCCTCAGTAATTACCACCCCATCTCCAACCTCCCCTTTCTCTCAAAAACAATAGAACGTATCATCTCCAAACAACTCCACCGCCATCTCCAAACAAATCACCTTTTTGAACCCCTTCAGTCTGGTTTTCGTCCCCACCACAGCACAGAAACGGCACTCACCAAAGTCCTCAATGACCTCCTCACCTCTGCTGACACCGGTTCACTTAACATCCTCATCCTCCTCGACCTGAGTGCAGCCTTCGACACCGTGAGCCACAACATCCTGCTCACCCGACTCCAGGACATCGGTATCGAAGGTACTGCACTCAGGTGGCTCCAGTCCTACCTCTCCGACAGATCCCACTTCATCTCCCTCAACAACCACTCCTCTGCCACAGCTTCAGTCACCCAAGGTGTTCCCCAAGGTTCAGTACTCGGCCCCCTCCTCTTCATCATCTACATCCTCCCCCTTGGTCAGATTCTACACTACTACAACCTGGACTTTCACTGCTACGCTGATGACACACAGATTTACCTCAGCACCAAATCCCCCCACAACCCCCCCCTCACCCACATCGAATCCTGTCTGACTGCTATAAAATCCTGGATGGCACACAACTTACTCAAACTCAACAGCAATAAAACTGAACTCCTCCTCATCGGCTCCAAATCCACCCTCAGCAAAACCCCCAACCTGACACTCACCATCGATGGCACCCCTGTTTCCCCCTCCACCCAGGCACGCAACCTTGGCGTGATATTTGACCCCACCCTCTCCCTCGAGCCCCACATCCGCCAAGTTGTAAAAACCTCATTTTTCCACCTCCGCAATATTGCCAAACTCCGTCCCTCTCTCACCCGCCCTGCAGCTGAGCGACTCATTCACGCCTTCATCTTCTCCCGCCTGGACTATTGCAACGCACTCCTCTACGGCATCAGCACTACATCCCTCAATAGACTTCAGCGTGTCCAGAACGCAGCCGCCAGACTCCTCACCCACACCAAATCATGGCATCATATCAACCCGGTCCTCAAAGAACTCCACTGGCTCCCCGTTTCACACCGCATCCAACACAAACTCCTGGTACTCACCTACAAAGCCCTCCACCACCTGGCCCCCCCCCTACCTCACTGACCTCCTCATCCTCTACCAACCACCCCGGTCCCTCAGATCCACCTCAGCCGGTTTGCTTTCCAACCCCAAGGCCAAACTCCGGAGCTTTGGGGACAGAGCCTTCTCTGTGGCAGCCCCGAAGCTCTGGAACTCCCTCCCCCAAGACCTCCGTGAGTCCGAGTCCCTCACCCTGTTCCAGTCCCGCCTCAAAACCCATCTCTTCAAATCTGTATACCCATAAGCCCCCCCCTCACCCCCCACTTCCTCCTGACTGCTTTCTGTTTTTTTGTTTTTTTTTCTCTGTTTTGTTTTTGTTTTGTTGTTGTTTTGTTGCCTGTCCTTGTCCGTCTACCCTTCCCCAAATGTAAAGCGTCTTTGGGTCTTAGAAAAGCGCTATAGAAATAGAATTTATTATTATTATTATTATTATGATTGGCGGCGATTTCATTTGAACGGGACGGCGCAAAACGAGAAGCATTCGGACCCAAGTACTGAAGGAATGAGGTATTTGCGGTCTACAATGACAGAGAAGAGACTGTCAAGTTTGGCTGTACTCAGCATTTAATCAAAACGCACTAAAGCTTTGGATCTTACTAATTTTGTGAGGCGTTTTGCTGAACAAAATGGTAATCGCCACATTCAGCTGTAATAGACATGTCAACTTGATGCTCTGCTCACGGATGAGTATACACAACTGTTAAGATGATGACCTTACATGTGTAAATATATTTTTTTCTTTGTGGGGGTCTGCCCCCAAAAAACAGTTTTAAGTCCTGAGAAAGTCAAATAAGACGGTGTGTAAAACTACACTGCCCAGCCAAAAAAAGTAACCACTTTGATTTAACTAGGCCAGTAGGTAAGGACATTCCACTGGATAATAACTGAAGTATAAAATAATGCATGACTGAAGTGATGGAGACCATGTTTGAAGGCAAACAAAAAGAGGAAATAACAGGTCAAATCAAGCAAATTCCCCTCTCATATTCCACAGCAACCAGAAGAACATAAATACTGGCTGGTGATTTGATTAATCAGCTTTGTGATGGAATAAAAAATGCACAGTGCATTTCCTTAGCTGTGGATGAGTCCACTGACACCACTGACAATGCTCAGTTGCTGGTGTTTGTGAGTTTTTATGATGAGGCAAAGGGGGAGTTTGTTGAAGATGTGTTGGGCCTGACGAACCTCAGTGGACACACAAGGGGGCAAGACATTTATAAAGCAATAATGGGAATGCTGAATGAAAGAGGGTGCAGCTGCCTTTATTCATAACTGTGCAGCTCTTACGCTGCGACTCTGAGGGATCAAGCACAGACACAATGAAAACTGCTGCATAGATTATTTTTGTTTTTACAACCTCGTGTTAAGAATCTTGTTGCAGTTGTTTAAAAGTTTGAATGACCGTAAAAAAACGGACCTTTGTCTTATTGAAAAACATTTTTTGGACCTTTAAGATTTGTATTTGAGTACCCCTTCCGTAGAGGATGCTATTGCAGTAGACGAGTCGTGATGTGATGAATGCATGAATCAGGGTTTCAGCAGCAGAGGAGGAGAGTGATGGGCGGAGACGGGCAATGTTTTTGAGGTGGAAAAAGGCAGTCCTGGTGATGTGATTGATGTGGTGATTGAATTTGAGCTGACTGTCGAAGATGACTCCGAGGTTGCGGATGTGAGGCGGGGAGATAGAGTGTGGCTGTCAATGGTGAAGTTGAAATTCTGGATGGCTTTGGTACGGGATGGGGGGCCGATGACGATGACGTCTGATTTGGCACTGTTCAGTTGGAGATAGATTGTTTGCATCCATGCTTTTATTTCTGAGAGACAGTTGGTGAGAGTGGAGTGAGTTGTGGGGGTGATGGTTTTTGTTGAGATATAAAGTTGGATGTCATCGGCGTAGCAGTGAAATTGAAGGTTGTGGCGACTAATTATTTTTGCCAAGGGGGAGCATGTAGAGGATGAAGAGGAGGGGGCCAAGCACCGAACCCTGGGGGACGCCTTGGGACAGAGGAGCAGTGGAGGAGGTGCAGTTGTTGATGTTGATAAACTGATGTCTGTCGGTGAGGTAGGATTTCAGCCAGGAGAGTGCAGTGTCGGTGATGTTGAGTGATGATTCGAGGAGAGACAGCAGGATGGTGTGGTTGATGGTGTCGAATGCTGGGGTGAGGTTGAGGAGGATGAGGGTGTTCAGGTTGCCGGAGCCAGAGGAGAGGAGGAGGTCGTTTGTGATTTTCAGAAGAGCTGTTTCGGTGCTGTGTTTTGATCGGAGACCGGATTGAAATGGCTCAAAGAGGTCATTGGAGCTGAGGTGGGATTTAAGTTGTGAGGCAATGACACGTTCAAGTATTTTTGACAGAAAGGGGAGATTTGAGATGGGCCGGAAGTTGGACATGATGTCAGGTGTGAGTCCAGGTCTTTTGAGAATGGGTGTGACAGCAGCCAGTTTGAGAGAGGGGGGAACTGATCCAGATCTGAGGGAGGAGTTAATGATGGTGGCGATGAGTTGGGAGATGGCAGGGAGGGGGGGGAACAGACATCTTGCAGGTAATGGAGGAAGTGATTGCTGAAGGTGAGATGGATTTGAGATTTCTGTAGGTTATTGTGCGTTTTTGCTTTTGGGCGGGGATGGGGATGTTGATGTCCATGATGATAGCCAGGTGATCAGAGATGTGGAGATTGAGGCTGGACAGATGATGGATGGTGAGACCAGTGGAGCAGACCAAGTCCAGGATGTGACCACGGCTGTGTGTTGGGAAGTTGATGTGTTGAGAGAAGTTGCAGCAGTGAAGGGTTTCCTTAAATTCAGAGGCATATTTGCAGGTCGGGTCGTCAACATGAATGTTAAAATCACCTAAGAGGAGAACAGATGGGGATATGGCAGAAAGCTGAGTGAGAATGTCAGAGAGGTCGGAGAGAAAGGAGGGGTTTGGCTTCGGGGGACGGTAGATGATGGCTGTGACCAGGGGAGTGGGACCAGAGAGTTTGAAGATCAGGTGTTCAAATGAAGAAACATCAGGGATGGGGATTATGGTAGTTTTTATTTCCTTTCTGATAATAGCAGCTATACCACCACCCCGCCCTTGTGGGCGAGGTTTGTCAATGGATGTGAATCCTGCTGGGGTGATTTGATTTAAAGAAAAATAGTCCAGGGGTTTTTGCCACGTTTCGGTTAGATACAGAAAGTCCAGGTTATTGTCTTTAATGAATTCATTCAGAATGTGGCATTTATTGTGGATGGAGCGTGTGTTGAGCAGGGCTGCTCTGAGGTGACGTTGCATTGGGAGGGGTTGTGTGGACCGGGGTGTGGAAGGAGATTGGTCAGATTCACGTGCTGTTTGTTGTGATGGCGTGGTGTGGGCGTGTGACAGGACCGAATGGACGGGATGGAGTGTGGAGACGTGGATTGAAATAAAAACGTACGGCCAGAGCCTCTGTGTGGAGGACGGCGTTTGCGGAGTATTTAATTATCTGCGAGGATGTCCATGCAGTCCGGAGGCAGGCGGTTATTAAAGGAGTGGAGATCTGACCGGGAGTAGAGCGGCGGCATGATCAGGTGAAGTGGCGCTAGCACGGAGCTAGCTAATGCTGGGGACCCGGGCAGCAGAGGCCAGGAGCCGGATGACCGTGGAAGAAGGAGCGGTGTGAGTCCAGGTAAAATCAGAAGGATAATCCACAGCATATCAGGAGAATAATTCCAGTGGTTTCCGAAGGAGAATCGTAGGAGGGGCTGACAGCCTGGTGCAGAGTGGGAGTCGGGTGACCAGCCTACTAGCTTGTTAGCTAGCTTGATAGCCACCGGCTGTAGGCGGTAGGGAGAGACGATGTCAGCGGGGAAGCCGGCTGATCGCAGCGGGATGTGAAGACCCACACGAGCCGCGGAGTTAGGGTGGAGACAGAAATGTTAGCTCGGCAGACTTCGGGGAGCCGAGGGGCATCTAGGTAGCAGCCTGCTAGGTCCGATAATGCTAGCTAGCTAGCGGGCTAGGGACCGGTGTTCCGGATTAACTGGTTCCCCGATCAACTGGGGCACAGATGTGAGGGGCGTGGCCTTCGACTGAAATACACATTTCGATCGCTTCTTCTGTCGTTTACATAAATGTTTTGGTATATTTGGCTCGGTAGGAAGACTTTGATGCACATTCAGTACCAGTGTGTGAGGTTGTGGTTACAATGGCGATATCCGGACGCGAACAGCGAGGACTACAAAAAAAGAAACGAGTTGACTGGGGATGTCTGTTCAAAACATTGCGAGCTCCAATAAATCATTTAAACCAGCTATTGTTGCCAGAGTTATTACTGATTATCGTTCTTAATGTGATACCAAGTCCATCTGAGACCTGTGTACACCTTCAGATAGCCTCCAAGTGAAGCGTACGTTGTTTACTCACAGTTTGAAAGCAGCGTGGAGAACTCCTCAGCTGTGGTAAACTGTGATCCGCTCCAATAAATCATTAAAACCAGCTATTGTTGCCCAATTTATCACTGAATATCGTTCTTAATGTGATACCAAGTCCATCTGAGACCTGTGTACACCTTCACAGGAGAATCGAAGGAGAATCGTAGGAGGGGCTGACAGCCTGGTGCAGAGTGGGAGTCGGGTGACCAGCCTACTAGCTTGTTAGCTAGCTTGATAGCCACTGGCTGTAGGCGGTAGGGAGAGACGATGTCAGCGGGGAAGCCGGCTGATCGCAGCGGTGTGTGAGCCGCGGAGTTAGGGTGGAGTTATGGTGGAGTTGGGGTGGAGACAGAAATGTTAGCTCGGCAGACTTCGGGGAGCCGAGGGGCATCTAGGTAGCAGCCTGCTAGGTCCGATAATGCTAGCTAGCTAGCGGGCTAGGGTCCGGTGAGCAGGAAAGAGCCAGCAGGTAGGAGATGACAACACAAAGATCTGTGTCGATTCGATAGAGAGATGCTGCTATTTTTGCTGATGACTGACGTTTAAAAAGTAGAGAGCCAGACAGGAGGGGTTCTGATCTGGACTAAAGAACAAGATTTGGGGCGGAGGAGCGGCGAACAAACAACGCCAGCACCCTCGGCGACCCGGGGATGTGTAGGTAATGTAGGTAGCTCATTTTGACTTGGTCATTTTAAAAGTAGCTCTCAAGCTGAAAAAGTGTGGGCACCCCTGCTATAGATGGTGGCATATAGATATGTGTGGCTTGAAGTTAGTGGACACACTTTTATGAGTGCAGTAGTTTCAATCACACCCATTATAACAGGTGCACAAAAAACAGCACATGGCAATGTTATTAACTCAAATCAATTTTTTATTTTTTTTATTAGCATTAATAATGTACTCATTATACCAGCTCCACAAACTTTTGGAGACTCCAGAGGCCTGTACTACAAAGTATGATTCATATGTTGCAGGTGCGACGAAGTGTAGTTGTACGTTTACAGTCCTGCAGACTGTATACAGCAGTTTGCCTTTTGTTGCTGCCGACTGTTTAACTCTGCAGGTGGTTTCAGCTGAAATAATGACATTTGTTAATATAAAGGGAATACCCAATAGTAACTGTTGTCTTCTATACTCATGCCTTGGTAATTAAATAGTGATGAGCATGGCAATTTAGGTCTTCACATAGTCTGCCATTTTGGCCAGCGTCCCTTCCTGCCTTTGGCTGCAGCAGGTGTGTTGCTTGTAACCTGGATTATATTTGTTAGGTTATATTTGTTGAATAATATAGTTTGCTCATCTTGTGAAAATACAGGCCATAGTCTGTGATTGGTCATAAGGGGCACCTATCCAATCAGTGACTGCAACTACCCAATTAAGTGAATGCACAGAGGAATTATAGCTTACACATTGCCTTTTTGTTTAATTGACAAATGTTTTTTCTGCTCACTTACAGGTAAAGCTGCTCAGAAAAGAGTGCCCTGGACAAAGACAGAGACCCAGGCAGTTGATAAACACATGAGTCGATTTATTACTTCTTGTCTTGTGCCAGGGAAGAGCGACTGCGAGAAATGTTTAAAGGCAGAACCAATAGCTCTTAAACATCGGGATTGGCAGACCTTAAAGTTTTATGTTCACAACCGTATCACAGCATACAAAAGACAAATTCAGCGAAAATAGGAAGGCTGTATGATGGACTCAATTTTGTCCCGACTTTCCTTTTTGTTAAAAAAATAAATGTTGCCAAGATTTGTGTAAAGACTCACACTTTTTATTTTTCCTATACTTGAAATGTGAGATCTAAGGATTATTATTATTATTATTTCAATATTTTGGGAAGTTTACTGGACCACATTACCAGAAGCGACCCAGGCCTGTTGTGAACTCCTCCACTGTGGATGCAAAAAGGGGTGCAGTGGACAGTGCAAATGTGTCAAGGAAGCAATTCAGTGCACTGCCCTTTGCCACTGTGGTGGACTGTTTTTTCAGAACTAACTCTGCATTTAGTTGAAAACCTGTAATATTACATATATATTATGTAACATGTATTACTTCACAAAAATAAATATGTTAATTATTTTACTGCGCATTTTGTTCCCTCAATACCAGATACATGTAGTTAGCTACATTCTAGCATGTTGTAAATAGTACCACTGCATTCCTCATCCTTGAACACGTAGGATTAGCCACCAGAATCAAGATCCTAGCCTAGGTGGTCTAGATGCTAAGCTACTGGTAAAAATAATAACCATTGTTCAAATATGCGATGGCCCTATAACCAAAAATCTTCCTTAGGGCATGCTCTAACAGTGTGCCAAAGTTAATGTTTTTATTATAAGCAAAAGAAAAAGTGCATGTTGTTTTTTTCCATCAGATGCTGAAAATAAATATTTGTTAAGCTTATAGACTGTATGGTTTTGACCTATTTTTTATTTTCTCTGATGGCTCCTGAAGTATTGAAACTCTGAAGGAAGTAGCTAATATTCTTTGAAGCAACCTGACGTTATATGAGGGTGCCTGACACCATTTTTATGTTTATAGTATACACAAAGATATCGTTTTGTAAAGCCGGAAAACATGATTTAAAATCCAGATGACTTTGCAGAAAATACTAATAAATTCAAAATCCAAATATATATTCATCCATTTAGGCAGGGCTGCCAACCTTTGAGTACAGCTTGGAGTGAGAATTTGTGTCAAAACACTGTAGACACTTGTTCTCTTTCAAAAAGGCGGAAGAACAAGAAAAAGGAAAGGAATGATGAGAGAAAGGTAAAAAGGCAGATCACCCATTCTAGCCATGCCTCATACCCCTCTATTTCAACCCTGTTACTAAAGTGCTGATTCTTGGTATGAAGCTTTAAAAACAAAAAGAGGGGGCGGAGCTTATGCCTGCTCATGCGGGAGATTCTACCAGCAGATACTCAGCCGTGTTGAAATATCATGTTCAAAACCACATCAAGGATTATTTCTGAAACAGTATGGAGCTCAAATGCTTTTTCTCTTGCCGGTTATACCACAAGGTGAGTTCCTTTTTTTATTTCCTGCTTCTTTACACATGTACTCTCTCCAGTACAGGTTAGCTCTGAGTATTAGCGATGCTTGCTAATGTAAACAAAGACCATATTGCGTCCAAAACAGTCGGGCATTGTTTCTGATAGCGACGTTTCTGATAGGGCCGTGGGTGTAAAGCCAGTCCACATTTCCAATATTACGTCATATCGGCAGCAAATCTGGAACAGCTCCGTTGTACCCCCGTTTTAAGAGATTTGCGCACGGAGGAAAAGAGAGAGGGTTGTATTGTCTGACACTTTGTCTGACACTTTGTGAGTATTTATGTATAAAAGACATCAAAAAGTGCATTTTGCATGATAGGTCCCCTTTACAACTTAAAATGAAACTGAAAACAAATAAAATGTAAATCTTATATAGAATTTATTATTTATTACATATTTATATATTTACTGTTATGATCATTAATATTGACATTATTAGTTTCAAGTCAATATACATTATTATTATTTACAGTCCTTCAGAGAGCAAGCCAAGTTAACAAAGACCGACTCATCTCCAAATAAGATGTTAAAAATATGAACTGTCTGAAAATAAAATCTAAGTTTAAAAATATATGTATATATATGAACTGTCTGATCCGCTGCCAAATCAGACCGAGGAGTTGGAGATGAGTTCTGACTGGGCCTGGTAAAGATTCAGAGGCGACGGCGGCGAGGAAAAACTCCCTTTTACAGGAAGAGACCTCGGGAGGAACCTGGCTCTCTGGGAGAAGCCCCTCCTCCTGAGGGCCGGTGGAGAGGGGGGGTCCTCTCTCTGCTGCGGGCCTCATCATCTGCTGGTCCTCCAGCTTCACCTCCAGAAACACAGGGAGAGACAGACCTACCTGTGTGGTCCCACGTCGCTGCTCAGCATCAGCCCGCTTCCTGATCCCCGTCCTGGCACTCAGTCCCCCCCTCCCCTGGGGGAGAGACTGAGGGGAACTCACACTTACCTCTTTGGTCCCCCGTAGCCCCTCACCTGGGCTCGTCCTCAGCCCGCCTTCATCCACCGCCCTCCACAAAAAAAAAAACTTAGATGTCTATACATGTACATATCTACAGTGTAGCTATGTACAAATGACAATAAAAGCCTTGAAACCTATATACATATATATACACAATCAACAGGTATATTTGTATATGTGTGGCACCCCTGCGATGTGTTTCCACATTAAGGTGATATGTATTATTATTGAGTGTTATATGCATTTATTTGTGTACATTTGTTTGTTTTCATTTCATTAACGGGGTTGAGAAATACAGTTAGTAGTGAGGCGTTGAAGCTTGCCGGCGGGGGGGGCTGAAACTCGACCAACAACCAATCACATGAATCTCCCGCCCCGGACACACAAGCACGCGGCTTGATTGGCTAGAGCTTGTACTGGCATATGATTCGATTGGCTGACGCTTCCGCCGAAGCTTCAAAAGTTGAACATTGCTCAACTTTTGCAGCGAGCAACGCTTCTGAAGCTACGCTTCTGAAGCTACGCTTCGCTCCCACAATGCAGTTCGGCGAAACGTGAGGTCACCTCATTCAAAGTGAATGGGCAGAAGCGTTAAAGCTTCAACGAACGCCGCCGTGTGGACGGGCCGTTAGAGGGCTGCACCTATACTCATAGAAACTGGGTTACAGTACGTAACCCAGATATCACAGATGCCCTTGAACACAACAAATATACAGTAGGGATTTGTATAGATATAAAAAAAGCTTTTGACACAATCAACCATGACGTCCTACTACATAAATTAGAAAGGTATGGTATCAGGGGTATAGTTTTAGACTGGATTAAAAGCTATTTAAGCAATAGACAGTGAAGTTGGGAAATGACTGTTCTTCATGTTTGGACATTGCTTGTGGTGTCCCTCAGGGATCAGTGTTGGGTCCTAAATGGTGTATACTGTACATCAATGACATCTGTAGAGTATCCAATGTACTGAGGCTAGTTTTGTTTGCTGACGATACAAATATATTCTGTTCTGGGGAGAATTTAGAACAGCTAGTGGAGAACATAGAAAATGAAATGCACAAATTAAAAACATGGTTTGACAAAAATAAACTATCTTTAAACTTGAGTAAAACATAGAACAAAAACACAAATGCAAATAAAAATAGATGGGGTTGAAATTGAAAGGGTCCATGAAATTAAATTTCTTGGGGTAATAATAGATAACACAATAAGTTGGAAATTACGCATAAAACATATACAATCAAAGCTGTCAAGAAGCATTTCCTTACTAAACAAAGTAAAACAAGTTCTAGATCAGAAATCACTTCGTATTCTCTACTGTTCACTAGTCTTACCATATCTGACTTACTGTGCTTGAAATCTGGGGCAATAACTACAAAGGTTAAATACATTCAGTATCTATTCTACAAAAGAAAGCCATACGAATAATTCACAATGCCAAATATCTTGATCACACTAACACATTATTCCTGCAGTCAAAATAGTTAAAATGTACAGACCTGGTAGAATTACAAACGGCACAAATCATGTTTAAGGCAAACAATAACGTTTTACCAGGAAACATCCAAAAAGTATTCACTCAACGAGTGGGGGGATATAGTTCAAGGAGACCATTTAAATTCGAAATTCATAGGGTCCGTACAACCAGAAGAACATTTTGTATCTCAGCCTGTGGAGTGAGACTATGGAACAGTGTGAATGTGGAGCTAAAGCGATGTCCAGGCATTAACCAGTTCAAGAGGAAATACAGAGAAATTATTATCTCGAGGTACAGGGATGGGGAAGGTGTTTGACTGTATCTATGTATATGTATGTGTATATATGTACATATGTGTATGTGTGTGTATGTATGTGTATGTGTATATATATACATGTGTATGTGTGTGTATGTATATGGGTATATATGTGTGTGTATATGTATATATGTCAATCAACAAGTAAAGCAGATTAATAATAATAATAACAATAATAATTAATAATAATGATCATTATTTATAGATTATAAATAAATAATTTAGGGATAAAGGGGTGAGATTAAATAAATTATACTTCTTCTCACTCCTTTTTGTAATAAAAGTAAAATACAGTTTCTTCTTGTTCTTCAGAGAGTGATGAAAACTGCTGCAACACTTTTTAGACCGTAAAACCGGGATGACATTGAAACCAGAGCTAAGGGGGTTGAACAATGCCCTCAGCTCTGATATAATGACCATATACCACGGCCTGTTGTGAGCTATTGCTTAAATATACACAATCAAATACACATGTTTGTATGCACACATTAATACATAAATAAAAGCACAACAATCAATATATACAAAATAACGGTCACTTCAATCTCTTTTTGGGCACCGGGACAATGCAGGAGCTCTTCCAGATCTCAGGCACCTTCATAAGCTTCAAAGAGAGACTGAAGAGGTGCTGAGAAGCTCCTGCTATCTGTCCGTCACACACCTTGAGCCCCCGGGGGTTGGTGTTGTCTGGCCTTTCTCACGTTGATCTTCGAGAGCTGATTCAAGATTCAAGGCTTTTATTGTCATTTGTACATAGCTACAGTGTAGTTATGTCAATGAAAATCTTAGGTCCCAAGCTCCTCCAACAGCGCAACACAATAAAACTGATAAAATAGTGCAAGTAAATACATATAAAATAGAATAGAATAGAATTCCTGACCTGTCCGGTGGTGATTATCAGATGTGAAGCTGCTGGGAGTTTGGTCCAAGGGTGGGGCTGAAGAGCATTTACTATACATTGGAGCACCAGAGACAATCACTACACTTGATTTCTCTCCATGTGTCTGCACCGTGGAGTCCTTACATACAGAGTTAACAGTTTGAAGAAAATGCATCCCAGATACTGTGTTACCAGACTGAAAGAAGTCATGAGGAAAATCCATGGATTTTCAGTTTTTACTGCATTGTAAATTCACTTTCAAGAGATGTTTACCACCTCAGGTCTGGAAAACATACAATTGCAGGGGTTTTTCTTATTCATTAAAGAGTTAAAAAGACCACAGTCAAACTGAAGTTATCATGAACGCAGAAAGCTCGAGAAATTG